CCAATGCAAGGCTACCTACCCACATGGGTCAGCTGCATTTCCCGCCAGGGTCATTCTGGTGGCTCGAGCATTTGTCACTGTTGGCTGCAAAGGAAGCTGTGACTCCGTTCCTGGAGTCCACTCCAGTGTCTGTCACACACAGGCCAGGTTTTGAGAAACTGCTTATTTCCCAGAGAAGTCTGGAGGAAGTGGTGGGGACAAATGGCATGTTTCTGTGTTGTTCCTGATCTAGGCTGGCCGGCGTAGGGCGCTGGGCATCTGTATATTACTTTTCTCATGACGGGGACAAAATATCTAACAAAAAGTGACTGAAGGAAGGAAGGACTCAGGGTTTTAAGGGATGCCCACTCTAGCAGGAAGATGTCATCCACCCGTGAAGTGGCTGGTCACATTGTATGTGCAGGCAGGAACAGGCACTGGTGCTCAGCTTGCTACCTCCTCTCCTATTTTATTTACTCTACGGCTCCAGGTTCCCCTAGGGGACTGCTCCCATTCAGGGTGGGGTCTTTCTCTGCTCTACCTCTCAGTCAGGAAACACCTTCACAGACAGACGTTCCTTCTTAGAGGTGTGTTTCCATGGCGATTCCCGATCCAGTGAAGGTGGAAGGCAGCCAGTGTTCGAGGGCACAGCTGACACGTGTCCGGGGACCTGCCTCCCCACACCTACTGCCCAGGATGGCTTCTGCTCCTCAGCTCTGGACGAGCAAAAAGGCCGAGCTGCCTGGCCTCAGAGCTCATCCCCAGCTCAGCCACTTGCTAGTGACGAGACTGGGAAATTGTTCATCTTCCCCGGGTCTCCATTCACCCACTCCTTCCTAAACCCTTAACTGAGCCCCTGCTCGGCAGACCCTGCGTCCTCCCAAGGGCAGCCGGACAGTGGGCAGTATCTGAAAAGCCGTGTCCCTGGAAAGTGTGTTAGGGATCATTCATTTCCTGGGGCAGAAGACTCGGAGCAGGCTTAGGTGGATTAGAAGTGAAGGCAGACTGATGGGCAGGCTGGGTTGTTTTAAAGTAGGGGCTTAAGGGAGAACCTCGATGATCAGAGTCTTAAAGCGAGGGGGAGAATCTTGCCCATGTGTGGAGGAACTTTACTCTGGAGGGGACAGAGCTGAAAGAAAGGTCCTGGGATGGGAGTGAGCTCAACCAACGGGAGCGGTGTGGAAAGCTGGCCCAAATGGTGGAGGGGCAGGAGATGGGAGATGGGAGGAGGGCACATTAACTGAATGATGTGTAAGAAGGCGTCGCATTTAATCCCAGCACTCAGGGGCAGAGGCAGGCGGATCTCTGTGAGTTCAAGGCCAGCCTGGTCTACAAAAGCTAGTTCCAGGACTGGCTTCAAAGCTACAGAGAAACCCTGTCTCGAAAAACAAAAACAAAATAATAATAATAATGCCTTTTCTGCATAAAGGAGGTCATCAAAACATACCCCTACTGCTCACCCACCCACCCCCACTCACCCCTGCTGTCGGCTGAGAGCACAGTCTGGAAGTCCAGTGAGAGGGAGCCATTATTAGCCTCTCCTGCCGTGTGTTCCCAGCCCTGCCTGTCTGAGGAGGTGGAGGGAGGATAGTACTTACAGACAGGCTGTGGTGGGGCAGAACTTCTGTCCAGCAGCATAGTGTGGGAGCAGGGCAGGCCCTCTGGATCTCTCCCCTGAGGTGCCACATGCTGGTTGTGTGTGCGCGTGTGCATGCACGTATGCATATGGAGGCCAGAGGAGGATACTGAGTGTCTTCCTTAACCACTCTCTACCTTGTTTGTTTGTTTGTTTGTGACAAGGTCTTGCTGTGTAGCTTTGTCAGGCCTGAAACTCACAGAGGACCACTTGCCTTAAAGTGTGTGCACCACCATGCCTGGCTTCCAACTTATTTTTTGAGACAGGGTCTCTCACTGAACCCAGAGCTCCTCAGTTTGGTCAGATGAGCCCTGATTGGTGATTCCCAGGGATCCTCCTGTGTTTACCTCCCCGGCCCTGACACCTGGATTTTACCCGGTGCTGGGGATTGAACTCAGGCCCTCAGGCTTATGTGACAAGCACTTTACTGCAATGTCTCTTCAGCCCTTGCTTATGCTTTTGTGTGCACTCCACTGCATGAGGCTTTCCAGGCACTGGTGATGCCAACCAGACATGGGGACACAGAGCGTTAGAAGCAGGCTAAATAGATGCCATGTTAAAACTCAGAACTGATTGACTTCGGGTAGCTGTCCATGGTCATTGTTTTGAGAGCCTTTACTTGGCAAAGGAGATACTTGGCAGACCTAACTAGCCCCCCCCCCTTTTAATGCCCCTTGTCTTCATTGCCACAGACTTAACCTGTCCCTAAATGAACAGATGAGGGATCGGGACCCTGGGAGGTACCGATTTGGTTTGCTGGGGCCACCAACAAGAGTGAATGGCCCTGCTTTTGGTGTCATAATGGGGAGCTTAGCAAGCGCTGTGAAAAGGAGCCTGGCTCCACAGAGTCAGCAGGAAGGGGACAGCCCTGGTTTCTTAGGGAGAAAGATCCATCTCCAGCTAGGTGGGAGCTGAGGGTGGGGGACAGCTGGGTCGTAGGGCTGGGCCTAGAATCCCTCCCTGTATTTCCTCAGTGGTGTGTAGACTAGACACCTTCTGTAACCCCTCTGCTTGAGTTCCAGCCCATAGATTCAGAATGTGAGGCCTGGGGGATTTAATAAGATAACACAATACTGGCCACAGTCGGTGCTTAGCCACATGATGCCTTCTGAATCCAGGGCGGGAAGCCGCATGCAGGTGGTTCCCCTTCTGTCAGAGGACACCGAGGTAAGCAGAGGACTCTGAGCTGAAGAAGGGTCAGACAGAGGTCACTTAGATTCCTGTCACCTCTCTCTGTTGGGTTCACAATAGGCTGGAGAGGAAGTGAGCCTCCTATGGCAAGATGTGAACATACAGGCTGGCGTCATTTAGTGGGAAATGACATCAGGAATTTAGAGGTTGATTGGCCCATTTGATCTGAGTGTTATTACATGTGTGTATGTGTGCGTGTGTATGTACATGTATGCACATGTGTGAAGAGGCCAGAGGTCAACCGTGCCCTGGAGTTGTTCCTCAGGAGCCGTCTATTTGGCTTGTTTAAGACCTGGGGCTCAGCGAATTGGCAAAGCTGGCTGGTCAGCCAGCTGCAGAGACTCTCCTTCCTCTACTTCAGGAGTGCTGGGAGTTATAGGCACATGCTGTCTTACCTGGTTTTGAACTTGGTACTGGGGATATAGGATATCACTCCGGTCTTCATGCTTGTGTGGCTGAGCCATCTCCCTAGCGCCCCCTCCCCCCCCCACTGTGTGGGTTGTAAGTGCAGCACAGTCTAAATGCATTCAGGCTGTAGTCCCTCAGGAAATGCCCAGTGAATGAATGGATGAATGGATAAATGGAGGTGTGGTCCATAGGAAACAGGGCTTAGCAGAATCTAAATGGCTAGATGGGAGCATGCCTGCTGTGTTCAGATACCTAGCCTGCCACAAGCTGAGGTATACTTAGGATACCTTGATACTGCCCTGTCCTGTCAGCCACAAGCACTCATAGATAGCATAGGGGTTTGTTTGTTTATTTGTCTTTGTTTTTGTTTTTTGAGACAGGGTTTCCCTGTTTAGCCCTGGCTGTCCTGGAACTCACTCTGTAGACCAGGCTGGCCTCGAACTCACAGAGATCCACCTGCCTCTGCCTCCTGAGTCCTGGGTTTAAAGGTGTGCACCACCACTGCCCAGCTGATAGCATAGGGTTGTTTTTTTTTTTAAGATTTTGTTTTGTTTTGTTTTTGCTTTTTTCGAGACAGGGCTTCCTGTAGCTTTGGAGGCTGTCCTGGAACTAGCTCTGTAGACCAGGCTGGCCTCAAACTCAAAGAAATCCGCCTGCCTCTGCCTCCCAAGTGCTGGGATTAAAGGCGTGCACCACCACTGCCCAGCCGATAGCATAATTTTTGATTGTTTTAAAGATTTTTTTAATGTGTATGAATGTTTGTTCACATGTATGTGTGCACGCGGTGCCCATGGAGGCCAGAAAAGGGCATCGGGTTGACTAGAACTGGAGGTGCCATATGGGTGCCAGGAACCGAACCCCAGGTCCTCTGCCAGGGCAGCCGGTGCTCCCAGATGTGGAACCATCTCTCCAGCCCCTTTTTTTGTTACTTTAAGTCAATCTCTTGATACACAGCCCAGGTTGGTCTTGAACTTGCCATCCTCTTGCCTCAGCCTTCCAAGTGCTGGGATAGCTTTTTGTTTTAAAATGAGAGCCCAGATGTGAACACCCGCACTCTGCAGCACTTAGTGCTGTGGCTTAAATATGGTGAGCTCGGCAGGGTTCCTTAACTGCGTGCGCATCAGTTTCCCCAGAAACAGGCACGGGAATGGCAGCTGCCTCCTGAGGTGTTGGGAGATCTGAAAAGAGCCAGTGTGCCTGAGCGCCCCCGAAGGCTGCTGTTACCTTCCGGTCCTCCCTAGAGCTGCCCACAGTACCCTTCTGCTTCTGAAAGGACTCAATATTTGTCTCTTGTAGCTGCTGAAGGGAGGCGCACCAGGGATCAAATCTCATTTTACAGGGGAGGGTGGAAGTGAGGGGGGAGGCCATCTCATAAGGTAACGTTCAGCCGTTTTCAGGCCAGAAGCGGTAATAACTCAAGCCATTCATTGCTGGCATCCCTGCAAACTCAAGGAGTTGTTCAGCCTTGATGCTCACCTGGTGGGGAGGGTAATGGTCCAGTGAGCACACAGAGGTCATTTGCTGAGGACAGCATACCTAAGAATTACAGACTAGGAGCTGTCTCTGGAGCTCACAGCTTCCCAGATCCTGGGGACAGCACAGGGCACTGAAGATGTTCAGTCCCCTAGAGTAGATCCCCAAGCTGCAGAGAACACTTCCTGCCACCAGGGTGTCTGTGGCTCTGCCTTGAGGATTCACAGGAAAATGGGGTGAGCCCTGCATGGGTTGCCTATAGGTGACCTTTGCCCCTCAGCCCTAGCTCTGTTCGTTGGTCTCACCTCTGTAGGAGTTCCTCTGTGACCAGAAGTACAGCGATGAAGAAAACCTGCCGGAAAAGCTCGCGGCCTTCAAAGGTGAGCTGGGGCTGCCTGCCCAACTGCCCCCGGAAGCTCTGGCTGCTCCCTCAGCCCATGGCACACAGGACTCCTCGGCTGCACGGGACTGGGCTGTAGCTCTGATTTATCCAGAATGCCCCATTTCCCATCAGACTTTGAGACGGGGTCCCCCAGAGGTGGAAGCAGGCCCTTTCTCCTTCCTCCACCACTGTGGACCCCTGACTGGCCTTGCCCTCTCTCTGTCCCATGCTGCTCGGTGTGGCTCAGGTTGGCTCCTGTCCTCCCCGTCCAGCCCTGTGCACTCTCAGGGCCCCAGCACACAATCTGGCCTTTGTGAGCAGCCCTTGCATCTCCCCCTCCCTGGCGGAGCCGCTCAGGAGCCCCTGCGGAGAATAGACATTTGTGTCGCTACAGTGGGGCAGGGGGGCAGAGTTTCTGCCCATTGAATCCCAACAGCACGGGATGAAAAGAAAACAGGACTCAGGAGCCTGCGTGGGGAGAGGGGCAGTATAAAGGTTCCTCTGTTCGGGGCCCTGGTGCTTGGTCCTCCGCCAGTGACTGAAAGAGAGGAGCCTGGGCATACAAGGAGTGGGCAGACCCACCTTTCCTGCCTCTGGGGTGCATTTGGGGGATGGGAACCCTGAGCTCTACAGAGGTTATCCAGAAGGTCTCATCCCTCTCCCAAGTGTTTGCAGTTTGGGCATTCTTCCCGTTCCAAGACCAAGTACCTGCCAGTGCGCCTCGCCTGCCTCAGCTGGCTCTCAGCATAGCTGTCTTGGCCAGGACTTAGATGGCAGCAATGTTAATAATGACCTGCAGGCGATGAGTGTCAGCCAGGGAAAGCCCTGTTCCACAACGGCCGGCGCGCTCTGCAGACCCTGCTTCCCCACGCGTCAGGAGGCAGGTGGTTAAATTGTTCATTTTCAGACCAACAAACTCAGGCTTGGGGAGGTAGGGTTATTGACAGAGGGGTCACATAGCTCATTGAGGGCAGAGCTGAGGCTTAAACCCCTGTCAGTCTCTAGAGCCCCAGGTCTCAATCCAGGTATATGTCGTCACGGAGTGGGGAGTGGGACAGGCCTTTAGGAGAGGTACGCAAAGGGCACAGGGGCCCAGTCCTTATGGAAAACAGGGTCTTGGGCTCTGAAGTCACATCTTCATTAGGAGGTGAGGTTGCTTCTGTCAAACAGGGAGTCTTAGTTGGAAAGGGAGAGACCCAAAGGTCCTCAAGCCGCTCATTCCTCTGTAATCCAGATGGGTGCTCACTGGGCTCCAGCCCTGTTGCAGGACCGGTGCTAGCGGAAGTTGAAGTCCTGAGGAGGGGTCTGGGCATCCCTGGGCGGACACAGCAGGCTGAGAGACCAGCTGGGAGCATGGAGAGGAACAGGGTGCCTGTCATTCTGGCTGCTCTGTGGTACAGAATAGACCCCAAGGGCTTGCACTGCTGAGGTAGGGGTGACATGTCCAAAGCCACACAAGAACTTGCTGACATACTGCCCTGGTCAGAAGACGTCAAGCTGGGGCAGCTCCTGCTCCCTTCCCCGGCTGCTCTCCCTAGGCCCTTTGGCTTAGGGGTTGCTATCTCAAGGTCTGCAGCCTTTGGGGAAGGTCCCACACACACATCTCTAGGGAGGGCCCTGGGTTCGTCTGCACAAACTGCCCATCAGCACCTCCTGGGATACTTGGAGGCACCCCAAGGCCTGCCCCGCCACCCTCCCTACACCCCTAAATCTCCAAGGGCATAATTTGACTTTGCAGCCTCTTGCTACTTTTTCCCCCTCAGAGTGCCGGTAAGACAGCAGTGCAAGCAGGAATATTGTGGATACTGGTTCTTTTTTTTTTATTAATTAATTAATTAATTAATTTTGTATGCAATATTCTGTCTGCGTGTATGCCTGCAGGCCAGAAGAGGGCACCAGACCTCATTACAGATGGTTGTGAGCCACCATGTGGTTGCTGGGAATTGAACTCAGGACCTTTGGAAGAACAGGCAATGCTCTTAACCGCTGAGCCATCTCTCCAGCCCGATACTGGTTCTTTTTAAAGAATTCAGTTCAGTAATGGCGAGATGGCTCAGCAGACAAAAGCACTGATCACAAAACTCCTCGATGATCTGAGTTCAATCCTCTGAACCCATGGAAAGTAAAAGGAGAGAACTGATGTCTCAAAGTGGTCCCATGGCTTCCTCACACGTGCATGCTCAGACGCACACATCATACATATGCAAACACACACATACACATGCTCACACACACATAAATAATTCGATCAAGAGATGTAGACAGTTTAAGCAGAAACTGATTTATCAAGGCGAAGCAAAGCAAACATTCCAAAGAGAGTGGCGTGGGCTTTTGCTTTGTAGAGGACAAAGACGTTTTTATGAATATTTATGAGGTACATAGCATATTCATGGAGGAAGGTGATCCAGATCATGTAGAACAGATCTTCCCGTTAGGGTTTTTCTTCCCATGAGCCTCTCAGAAATCCCACAAGGGAGGTTAGCATCAACACAATGATGCAGTAATAGTATAATAATGTTTGGGTATTTTATTGTATTTATTTTTCTCTTATGTGCACTCGTGTTTTGCAATGGGTGTCAGGTCTCTTGGAACTAAAGTCACAGACAGCTGTTTGGTTTTTTGAGAATGTAGACCCTATGTTTATGTGTGTGTGTGTGCACGCATGTGCGTACCCTTGTATAGTGGGAACAACCAAACTGGCGTCTCTAGCATATTTAGCCACATGGGAACACTGTGACCATCAGGAGACATGGCTACCAACATGCGCTATTGTTTCCTCATAGCTGATTCTCACCTACCTAGTATCAGGAAAAGCTTTCGGCTCTTCTAGAGACAACAGCTATGATGGCAGGACTCCTGGGATGGGGAGGGTGTCAAGGGCCCCCCAAGTCAGCTCTTTCCACAGGGAGAGCTGTGGCTTCCAAGCTAATGGCGGCTTTTGCTTGTGATTTCCAGAGAAATATATGGAGTTTGACCTGAACAATGAAGGCGAGATTGGTGAGTGAGACCCAGATGGCAGAGGTGGAGGGTGGGTAGAAGGTGATGGGTGAGACCCGGGTGGCGGAGGTGGAGGGTGGGTAGAAGGTGATGGGTGAGCCCCGGGCGGCAGAGGTGGAGGGTGGGTAGAAGGTGATGGGTGAGCCCCGGGTGGCAGAGGTGGAGGGTGGGTAGAAGGTGATGGGTGAGACCCAGGTGGCGGAGGTGGAGGGTGGGTAGAAGATGATGGGTGAGACCCGGGTGGCGGAGGTGGAGGGTGGGTAGAAGGTTTGAGGTCCAAAGAGCCTTACTGGTCTGGTGAGGGGCACTGGATAAGGCTGAAGAACTCTCTGATATTTCCCTATTGGGACTGATGACCCGGCTACCCTGTCACCAGCAGCAGGGGACACAGGGAAATATTGAATTCTTTTCAGATACTTCCACTCGGTGGGGGCACTGGGATCTTGATTAACACAGCAAAAACAGAATTTCAGAATGAGTTTTTATTACCTGTTTATGTATATATATGGTGTGTGTGTGTGTGTGTGTGTGTGTGTGTGTGTGTGTGTGTAATGGGGAAGAGAGAAAGGGGAGAACACAACTTACAGGAGTCTGTCTTCTTCCACCATGTAAATTCTGGGTTTGGGATCAAACAGGTTGTCAGGCAGGTGGCAGGCTCTTCCACTACTCAGCCATCATGCCGGCCATGGCCCCTTTCCTTCCTTTCTCCCTCCTTTCTTTTTTTCTTTTTTCTTTTCCCTGTATTTTGAGACAAGGTTTTGCTATGTGGTCATGGCTGGCCTGCAATCGTAGAGATCTGCCTGCCTAGAGAAGATTTTCCCACCATACCCAGCATCACCCCTGCTCTTAACATTCATGTTTGGATCACCTTAAAACCTCTTTGTAAACTCCAAATTCATTTCACTAAAAAATAACGGGGACTGGAGGGATGACTTAGTGGTTAAGGGCGCTGGCTGCTCTTGCAGACAACTAAGGCTCATTTTCTAGCATCCACATGATGGCTCACAACCCCCAGTAACTCTAGTTCCAAATGGTTTACTGTCCTCTTCTGGCCTCTGAGTGCACAGCACACACAGTGCACATAAAAAAAAAATCATACACATAAATATGTCTTAAAAAATTGAAAATACAAAGAAAGAGCTGAAGAGATCGCTCAGCAGTTCAAAGTGTATACTGCTCTTGCAGAGGACCAGAGTTTGGTTCTCAGCACCCCCCTGAAGGGCTTTATAAATAACTCTTACTCCCGCTCCTGGGATCTGGCACCCTCTGGTGGCTTCTGTGGGAACTGCGTTTATGTCACACACACACACACACACACACTCACACACACACTCACACACACACACACACCCCATTTTAAAAAGTATAATGCCAGGCAGTGGTGGCGCACGCCTTTAATCCCAGCACTCGGGAGGCAGAGGCAGGCGGATCTCTGTGAGTTCGAGACCAGCCTGGTCTACAAGAGCTAGTTCCAGGACAGGCTCCAAAACTAAAAAACAAAAAACAAACAAACAAACAAACAAACAAAAAAACCACAGAGAAACCCTGTCTCGAAAAGCCAAAAAAAAAAGTATAGTAAAAAATAGAAAGGAAAGAGGAGAGTCGTGGAAGTAGTGTAGTTTTCTCACGAGAGGGTCGCTCGCACAAAACAAGCAGAAGCCGCCAAGAAAGGAGCAGCCCAGCTTAACAACAGCTAGCTATATGATTTTGGTGACTTTTGACATTACTTTATTTAAAGGGTACAATCAATATCTAAGTTTGAAAGATTAAGTAAAAAATGTTTTTGCATACTTATCAGAAGAATTCGTCATTACATAAGTGAGATTTTATAAGGTTTCATGAGTGTACTGTTACAAACTTAACTGGCTAAAAAGATAAAGTTGTAGGTCACCAAGGTCAATGGAATTCTTACCATCCAGGGGTCACTAGGAGGTCAAGACATGTTCTGACTATAAACAGGGCTTGTGATCTAGTCTGGGAGATTTTTCTCAGGGCAGGCAACAGGGTATGCTGGTAAAGCTAACTTCAGCAGCCACACACGTTCTGTCTGCGTGCATGGCTGGCCGACTGCTCTATAGGTCTTGTTAGGAGTCTCTTGGGGACTGGAATACATTCTCTATGCAGGCAATCTTCACAGCACTTTTTTTCCTGTCATTTGGGTTGAAATTCTTGACTCTTTGCCAGTGTGTGACTTAAGGCATATCCTCGGGGCCAAGGGGCTCCTCCCCCTCCTCAAGCCCCTTCATCTTCTATCTTTCTATCCTGCCTTAGGCAAAGCCTGCCCCGGTTCCTTCCATGCTCCGCCTGGCTTCACTGCCTGGGAACCTTCCTGATGTGCTTCCCTGCTGGATTCCACAGCTTCCCACTCTAGAGCCTGGCTCTCCATCCGCCCAGGCCTGCAAAGGCTGCTTGTCTCCTGAACTCAGGCTGCTGCTTCGTTCTCTCCAAGTCTGCCTTGTTGTCCCTTGTCCTACAGTTGACAGGGGGCGTAGACACTGCCTCTCACCTCCAGCAGAACTTCCTGCTGTCAAGGTGCTGGGGTGACAGAGACACAGAAGTCCCAGAGCACCTACATCCAGGCAGGAAACGGTAGTTTGATCTTCACCAGCAGGGCTGGGCCATGGTCCAGGCTGCTCAGTCACCCTCAGGTTGTGGGTGGGAAACCAAGACTCAGAAGTGAAAGGATTTGATGGGTCCCCGATGTCAGGGCGTGGGCTCAGTCCCTCTGTTTGCTTCTGAGCAGGTTCCCTGTTGCTCTGTCCTTCCCAGGATATTCCATTGTGTGAATGGAGCCAAAGGAGTCCAGCCAACACTTGAAAAGCCACCGTTTAGAATTTTAGACTGTAGATGGTTTCATATTTTTCTCTTGAGACAGGTATCATGGTAGCCCAGGCTGGCCTGTAACTCAGTATGTAGCTGAGGATGACCCCTGTGTGGGGATTACAGGCATGCACCACCATGCTCACTTTGTACGGGACAAGGGACGGAACCCAGAGCTGTGTGCCTGCAGCACGCTCTGTCAGCTGAGCTGTAATCTTCAGTGGGTTTCTTAGGTTTAGTTTTTTAGTTTTTCTTTTTCAGGCCAAGGTTGACCTAGAATTCACTATTTAGCTCAGGCTGGCCTCAAGCAGTCCTCCTTCCTCAGCCTTTCCAGTGCTGGGTCTACAGGCATGCACCACCACATTTGGGTTACTATTTCTGGGTTTTAAAAAATTTAAACCACATTTATTATTCATTTGTTTGCGTGGAGGGGCTGGACCTCTACGGCACATGTTTGGCGGTCAGAGGGCAACTTGAGGGAGTCAGGTCCCTTCTACCATGTGGGTTCCAGGAACTAAAAACTATCTCAGGCGCGGCAGCAGGCACCTTTACCCGTCTTGCTGAGCTGTCCTGCCAGCCTACTGTTTCTATTTTAACTGCTGTTGATCAGCTCACAGCAACCATCTCTTTAGATGGATCTGGTCCTCTTCATTGGTTGTCTGTAGGGTAAATCTCACCAGTGAGGGAGACACAGTGGGTCAGGTGTTCAGCAGCCCCATTCCCCGTGTCTCCAGGAGAAGTCTTGCCAGTTTGAAGGTGGGCAGCTTGTGTGCCCCGAGCTCTTTTCCACGGAAGAGCCTGGAAAGCCTAGCAGCTTTGGGCCATGCACAAGTGCTGCCCACCTCAGCCCTGCTCACAGCGCTGAGATCTGGCCCTGTCCCCCCCCCCCCCCCATTTGCCGATCCATTGTTCACAGTGAACGGTTCTGAGGAAATAGCCTCAGATGTTGGTGGGAGCCGGAGATCAGGCGGAGGCCCCTGGGGTGGAAGGGCTTTTTGGTGCCTCCCTTGTTTTTCTTCTATTTTTCCTTTTGTTGCTTTTCCTGCTCTGAGGGGCATTTTTGGCTCCCTGTCCCTTCTAGCCTTGGAGAGTCCTACAGCAACAGAATAGAAGCGGCAGGTGACGATGGTCTCTGTGTGCTGTGCCAGAGAAAGTTTGACTTTCAATGCCCGGAGTCAGGCTAACTCCCAGGCACCTTGGCTCACCCTAATTCAGAGGCCTCTTTGGGAGAGAATCATGTATATCATGTCCACATAAGCCTAATCACCATTTCTTCTGTTTTCTTTTTCCTTGAAACTGATTGTGTGTATGTGCCTGCGTGTGTGTGGGCACACATATACATGTGCACCTGTGTGTGTCTGGGTGTAGAACAGGGGGTTGGCATCAAGGTCTTCTAAATGGCTTTCCTATTTATTTGCTTATTTATTTATCCATTTGTTTATTTATTTATTTATGGGCCTGGGGCTTATTGACTTGGCTAGACTGGGTGGCCAGTGCGTCTCTGGGATCCTCTTGTCTCTGACTCCCCATCCCCGAGGTCATAAGCTTGGGCCAGGGTGCCTGAGTATGTATTTGTGCTGTGGGGCTTTGAACTCAGTTCTCATACTTGCACAACTTACTGAGTGAGTCATCTCCCTAAGCCTTCTTCAATACGTAGCCCAGGTTGGTCTCAAACTTGCAGTGATCCTTCTGTCCCAGGCTTTCGGCTGCTGGGGTTGGAGACTTGTGTCACCTCTCATCCCAGAGAGGTGACGCAGTCTTCCCCAGGTCCCCCAGCCAAGAAGAGTGACGCTTGATCCCAGACCAAATCTGACTGTCGAAGCCCAGGTAGCTACCTGCTGGCCTTTACTGCCTCTGAAGAGAGCAGGGAGGGCTCATTCCTGCCTCCCCAGGAGAATCATCACCGGCTGCAGCCTGCAAGGAGAGGTGAACACTAATTGTGCAGTGCAGGAAGAAGGGGGCATCTCTGGCTACCTGCAGGCCTGCAGTGTCCTTTCTCCACTCAGCAGATCTGCTTTTCCTCCTGGCAGATCTAATGTCTTTAAAGAGGATGATGGAGAAGCTGGGGGTCCCCAAGACCCATCTGGAGATGAAGAAGATGATCTCGGAGGTGACAGGCGGTGTCAGTGACACCATCTCCTACCGCGACTTCGTGAACATGATGCTGGGCAAGCGGTCGGCTGTCCTCAAACTGTGAGTATCTCCACACCTCGTGAGGTCTTGTGGGGAGAGGCCCCGGGCTGAGGACACCTTGGCCATCCCCTAGTGGTGGACAGTTCATTGTGCTACCTGTCGAGGGAAGATCTGGAGTTTTCTGATCCTGTTTTCCTTACCTAGAGAGATTAGTTTGTATTGGGGTGCATGGTAAACCCCAAGGGACCCCAAGGGAGGCTTCATGAATAACAAAAATGATGGCGGCACTGTCTTGTCTTTTTGCTTTTTTTTTTTTTTTTTTTTTTTTGTTTTCCGAGACAGGGTTTCTCTGTGGTTTTGAAGCCTGTCCTGGAACTAGCTCTTGTAGACCAGGCTGGTCTCGAACTCACAGAGATCCGCCTGCCTCTGCCTCCCAAGTGCTGGGATTAAAGGCATGCA